AATTAGGAGAAACTATTAACTTTCAAGCACTAATAACAAAGCATAGGCCAATGAGAGTTTTAATAATAATAATAAAAAGTTGACAGCGACATTTTTTATCTCTACCGGAAGGGATGGAATTTTCTGTAACGGGAATGTCAATCCCCCAAAAATTAGAGTTTACCCTCAATTTATTCCCTTCAACATTTTTTGGGGGCTATTAGTGTAACATCTCAAGAGCTGGCAAGGGTAGGGAGTGATCGCCGGTGCGAAAGGGCACGGACAATGAGCGGCTCATGCCAAATCTTGCAGCTTGGAGGTACATGAATGAATCGAATCAACACCCGAAAGAGAGGAATTCCAGTGACTGTGCTGGTATTGGATGGTACAGTTAGGAATGACTTATAAGAATTAATTGGTACTACCTATACTAAAAAGATGCATCTACTTTTCGGTAGCCCGGATCGGAAGAACTCCACAGTTAAGCGTGCTTGACTTGGATCAATTCTGGAATGGGTGACCTCCTGGGAAGTTTTCCCGGGAAGTGTGCGAGTGAGGACAAAGCACACTGAAAAGTCTCGTGTTAGTGTGTGGGGAGAGTCATTGATTCTTGCAAGTTGTCAGGCGTTACAAGTGGTATGAGAGCAGGGCCTCTCTTCCAGTACGGTGTGGTTCGAGGACGAACCAGGCGGAAGCTGGTGGGCATGTAACATCCCAAGAGCTGGCAAAGGTAGGGAGTGATCGCCGGTGCGAAAGGGCACGGACAATGAGCGGCTCATGCCAAATCTTGCAGCTTGGGGGTACATGAATGAATCGAATCAACACCCGAAAGAGAGGGATTCCAGTGACTGTGCTGGTATTGGATGGTACAGTTAGGAATGACTTATAAGAATTAATTGGTACTACCTATACTAACAAGATGCATCTACTTTTCGGTAGCCCGGATCGGAAGAACTCCACAGTTAAGCGTGCTTGACTTGGATCAATTCTGGGATGGGTGACCTCCTGGGAAGTTTTTCCGGGAAGTGTGCGAGAGAGGACAAAGCACACTGAAAAGTCTCGTGTTAGTGTGTGGGGATAGTCATTGATTCTTGCAAGTGGCCGGGCGTTACAATTAACAAGGTAACTCAGAGAAGAAAGACTGCATTTTATTTACTTACTTGAAAACAGAGAATACAAAGGCAATATATAGAAAATATGCGAAGAGTGAGAAAATGGCCTAACAGAATGGCCTCACCAAAATGACTAACAGAATGGCCTAACCAAATGGCCTAACAAAATGGCCTAATAATATCAGAAGCACAAAAATGACAGCTCAGCTTCTAGAAACAATTACAACAGAAAAGAAATAATTAAAAAAACTAAAAATATAAAATGCTAATAGGCCCCCTCAAGATGGAGAGTAGAGATTCAGAATTCCCATCTTGGATATCAGAGTTGCAAACTTAGAAGGAAGCAAAGACTTTGTGAGAATATCCGCAAGTTGTTTTGAGGAAGGTACAGGAAATGTTTTCAGATGCCCTTTGATGATATGTTCTCGAACAAGATGACAATCTATCTCGATATGTTTTGTGCGCTCATGAAAAACAGGATTAGCAGCAAGATGAAGAGCAGATTGATTGTTCACAGAATAGATGAGCAGGACCAGAATGTAGAACTTTGAGATCTTATAAAAGAGAAAACAGCCAGAGGAGTTCGCATGTTACAAGAGCCATAGACCTATACTCTGCTTCTGTGGAGGATCTGGAAACAGTGTTCTGTTTCTTGGATTTCCAAGATATAATTGAATCCCCAATGAATACACAAAAACCAGAAATAGACCGACGACTATCAATACAAGAAGCCCAATCAGAGTCACAAAAAGCATTAAGTTGAACAGTAGAAGAAGAGGAGTAAAAAATTCCTTGACCAATGGTGTGCTTGATATAGCCAAGCAATTTGTGGGCTGCTTGAAGATGAGGAAGCCGTGGAGTAGCCATGAATTGGCTGAGAAAATTAACAGTGTAGCAGATGTCTGGTCTAGTGATTGTCAAGTAAATTAAACGTCCAATTAAGCGACGGTACATGGAAGGATCAGGGAGAAGATCTCCCTCAGAGGCAGAGAGCTTAAGTCCAACTTCAAAGGGGGTGCTGCGGGGTTTGCAACCAGAAAGTCCAGAATCTTTAATAATATCCAATGCATAATGATGCTGACAAACAGAGATACCTTTGGCAGAACGAGCTACCTCAAGGCCAAGGAAATAACGTAAGGGACCAAGATTCTTGAGCTTGAATTTGCTGTGAAGTGTATAAATAAGAAACTGTACTTCAAGAGAATTGTTAGATGCAACAATTATATCATCTACATATACCAATACAACAATGAAGCATGATCCAGAAGAACGCACAAATAAAGAATGGTCAGATTGTGACTGATTAAAACCAAGCAAATTCAATGTATTGGAAAACTTTGCAAACCATTGTTGTGATGCTTGTCGAAGTCCATACAAGGACTTATGGAGGTGACAAACAACATTAGGTGGAAGAGAAGCTTGAGTAGAAGAATGGCCAGGAGGCAAATGCATGTAGACTTCTTCCAATAAGTCCCCGTGAAGGAAAGCATTATTGACATCAAGCTGGATAAGTGACCAGTTATTAATAGCAGCAAGGGCAAGAAGGAGCCGTATAGTTGTAAGCTTCGCGACAAGGGAGAAAGTCTCTGAAAAATCAACCCCTTCCTGTTGAGTAAAACCCTTGGCCACTAGACGTGCCTTGTACCTCTCAAGGGAACCATCTGATTTATATTTGACCTTGTAGACCCATCTGCAACCCACAATCTTTTTGCCAGGAGGAAGAGAAACAATTGTCCATGTTTTATTAAGCTCAAGGGCTGAAAGTTCATCCTGCATTGCAACTTGCCATTCTGGTAGTTGTGATGCAGCAGAAAATGAGGTGGGTTCATAATGTGATGAAACAGAATTTATAAAGGCTGCATATGTAGGAGAAAGACGATGGTATGAAATGTAATTAGATAGGGGATGAACGGTAGACGAAGAACAAACATAATCACTAAGATATGAGGGTGGGTGACGAGGCCGTGTAGTGGGAGATGAAATGGATGGTTCAAAAGTATTATGCTGGGAAGTAGGAGCAGCAGGCAATGAATGTGAAGTAGGTAAAACAGTAAATTCAGTATATGGGGAGGAGGGGGGAGACTTCATTGAAAAAGGGAAAATGTGTTCAAAAAACACAACATCACGAGAAATGAATGTACGGTTAGACTCCAAATCAAGAAGTTTGTAACCTTTGAATCCAGGTGGATATCCTATAAAAACAGCAGGTAGGGTTCGGGGGGAGAATTTATGACGATTTTTGGAGAGGGATGAGCTGTAACAAAGGCAGCCAAAATTGCGAAGATGGGAATATTGTGGAGGTTTATGGCAAAAGAGTTCAAAGGGGGTTTTGGATGAAAGAAGGGGTGAAGGGGTTCGGTTAATTAGATATACATCAGTAAGGATGCAATCTTGCCAATATGGCAGTGGTACATGGGATTGAAATTGAAAGGAGCGTGCCACATTACGGATATGTTGGTGCTTGCGTTCTACAACCGAATTCTGTTGAGGACGATCAACACAAGAATGGTAAAGTTGAATACCTTTAGAGGAGAAAAAAGATTGTAAGTGAAACTCAGGTGCATTATCACAGCGGATAGACTTAATAGGCAAAGAATATTGTGTGTGAACAAGATTATAAAATGAAGTAAAAACAGAAGAGAAATCAGATTTTTTGTTTAAAAAATAAGTCCATGTGAAACGTGTAGCATCATCTACAATTGTCAAAAAATAGCGAGATCCCTCTACAGAAATTGTATGAAAGGGACCCCATATATCACAGTGAACCAAATCGAAAGGGGATGCAGATAATTTGGGGTTTAAAATAAAGGGGAGGCGTTTTTGTTTGGCAAGAGGACACACAACACAATGATGGGCAGTATGCAAATCATCAGAAAAAACCAGCAAAGATTTCATTGAATTTAAAACTGAAACAGAAAGATGCCCTAATCTGGAATGCCAGAGGGAAGGGTCTTTTACAGTAAATGAAAAACAAAGGGGATGGGGGACATTATCTGCCGGGAAAAGATTTGTGGTGTCAAGTATGTAGAGGTCTCCGTGTCTTCTAGCAATCCCAATCGTCTTTGCCGAAGCACGGTCCTGAAGAGAACAATGCGAGTCAGAGAAATGAGCAAGAATAGGGGAATCACGCGTTAAAGCACTGATTGATAAAAGATTGAAGAAGAACGACGGAACACAAAGGACATTTTGTAGGGTAAAAAGACCACAAATGGACACTGAACCAACATCAGTGACCACCGCAGAAGACCCATTCGGAAAAGAAACTAAAGAATCAGAAGAGGAAGATGAGGAAAAAAGGTTAATCGAAAGACAAACATGATGCGTAGCACCCGTGTCTAAAATCCAACAAGACGAAGGGAGAGCAAGAGGTGGCTTACCACTGAAACTTGCTATCGAGGGAGAGGAGTCGGCGACGAAAGAAGTGGAAAACGATGAGGATGATGCAGAATTCTGATGTAGCAACGCAAGCAGCTGATTATACTGAGTTGGGGTAAATGCAAGTGGCACGTCAGAGGATTGGGAAGGAGGGTTAGGTGAGGATGCTGTCGGTGGGAATTTGGGAAGAGGATGGGAAGGATGAGAGTGTGCAAAGTAGGCTTGGGCCTGATTGGTAGTGGGGTTGGGCTTAGGAACTCTGGGTTTATACCCAGGAGGGTATCCGTGTAATTTAAAGCACTTGTCACGTGTGTGACCAGAAAGATTGCAAAATGTGCAGATGGATCTGGGACGGCGTTGAAAAGCAGCAGCCGTCGTGGGTAGGGAGTGAGGAGGAGGAGCAGCCGAGTTAATAAGCGGGGAATCTGGAGCAACCGGATGAGGCAAGGATACTGAAAGTTGACGTTGGTGTTCTTCCTGCAGGATCATGGAGAAAACCTTCGCGAGTGGTGGCAGTGGTTCAAGGAGAAGAATCTATGCCCGGACAGAGGAATATGAGTCATTGAGGCCAATAAGAAATTGTAAAATATGGTCCTGCTCCCTGCCGGTGCGAATCTCATGAAGAGCACCACAAGTGCAAGAAGGAAGAGGTAGGTGATCCTGTAACTCATCCCACAGAGATTTCAACTTCGTATAATAGGCATTAACATCAAGGGCGCCTTGAGATAAAGAGGAAATTCGTTGTTTGAGTTGAAAAATACGTGGACCATTCGCCTGAGAAAAACGTGTCTGCAGATCAGTCCAAACCTCATAACCAGTAGAAAAATAAAGGAGGCTATCGGCAATCTCCTTAGTTACGGAGTTCAAAATCCAGGATATGACCATGGAATTGCAACGAGTCCATGAAGAAATCAACAGATCATTGGGAGAAGGACGAGGGATAGAACCATCAACAAACACAAGTTTGTTCTTCGCTGTGAAGGCAAGAATCATAGCACGCTTCCAGGAACTGAAATTGGAACCAGTGAGAGTATGGGAGACCAAAACCAGGCCAGAATGATCTCCATTTTGTAAGAAATAAGGACTGGAAGAATCCTCCATGAAGGAAGATGAACCAGAGGAAGTATTCGCTGGTGGTGGACGATTGTTAGTGGTACCACGAGCCATGGAAGGAGGCTCGGGTTCAGGAAAAAAAGTCTACTGATACTATATTAGGAAGGTAACTCAGAGAAGAAAAACTGCATTTTATTTACTTACTTGAAAACAGAGAATACAAAGGCAATATATAGAAAATATGCGAAGAGTGAGAAAATGGCCTAACATAATGGCCTCACCAAAATGACTAACAGAATGGCCTAATAATATCAGAAGCACAAAAATGACAGCTCAGCTTCTAGAAACAATTACAAAAGAAAAGAAATAATTAAAAAAACTAAAAATATAAAATGCTAATAGGGGCCACTGTTAAGAGTATGTAAACTCGGATCATTCTCTCATCTCATGCGTGTACTGGCAGCAACAGTGTTCTTCAATTATAACTGTAAAGATGCATTTGATTTGCTAAAAAATAAAGCCATAAAGGAAAGCACAACACAAAAATTATGCTGTGTTTGATTGTTCAAATAGTATAAGTACCGGGCAAAATGTAATTTACTGACCCTTAATGATCAGAAAAATATGTAATTCGAGTCTAAAAAGAAAAATAGAGTAAAAAAAAGTTAGCAAATTGACGTTGATGCTTATAGTCGCAATGCATGGTTCACATTTTGATATTTATGTTCTCAAAATGTTACGCTTCACGAACAAAACACGAAACTATTAAGAAATAGGGTTAGGTGTTAGTTCCGATGAATCTATTTTGTGTTGCCTGGATAAGAATTCGCTATAAGAAATAATTAGTTGTCTTTTTACGCAATTGGATAATTTATTTGAAACATGATATTTGAATAATTTATAGGCTTGCAATCAATATTATTAAAATCAGTCCAGTAATTGACCCGATCGATGTACTGGATCACTGGTTCAATCAGTGAGTCACTGGTTTAATTGTATGATCCGATAATTATATGCAATTTTATAATTTATATTAAAAAATTATAAACATACTCAAATATCTAAAAAAAATGATAAAAATTTCAAATATTTTAATATAAAAATAATAAATTACATATTATTATCTAATAAAAGATCAAACAAAAATATAATGATCGTGATACAAGACTTTAAGTTCCAAAAATGATATCTCTAACTATAAATTAAATTAAAATTTTCTGCATAATACATAATTGAGATAATATTAGTGTTGTACGTACATAACTTATGTAAATCAATAAACAAAAAAGTATTCAAATATATCTATAATGATTTTTTTTTTGAAAAAAAAATTTTGGAATTTTTTTTTTTGGACCGGACCAGGTTATCGATTAACCTACCGGGCCACCAGTTTTCATGAAAATCGACCGGGTCGCATCGATTTTGATGCATGGCCAATCCGTTGTTTCAACCAGATCGATTATATGCCCGATTTATCAGTTTTCGAATCGATCAGGATTAGTCCGATTTTATTAACACTACTTGCAACACTGCAGAAGTTAAGGATATACAGCACTGAGGAAAAAATAAAAGTGAGATCCTGTTTATCAAAAAAAAATAAAAAAAATAAAAAAATAAAAGTGAGATCCACTCTAAAAAAAGAATTTTTTTTTGCTGGTGGCGTGGAGAACAAGAGACAATGACTGGAGAACAGCCTTTTGTAGTTACATAGGAAGTGTTTTTTTTTTCATTAATTTATTTAAAAAAATGTATTATTTTTATTTTTGTCCCTAGTAATGCACGTGGATGCACTCAACGCGGCAAGTAAAGAATGAGACTCTACCGACCGAGACAACGTGTCTAGTACAGACAATTAGACGCGCTTTGATGTGGAAAACAACAAAAAATGCTTAGTTGGAAAGCTCAGATTTTCTAGGTCCATTCTAAGTGACGAAAAGTTTGATGACTCCACCCGCTAGATGCCAAACAACACATCAAAAGTAAATTTCCACTGAGATTTATTTTTGAAATTTTGATTCCTTTCATCACTGCAAAGTAATACCGTTAAAAGCACTTGATCCTTTGGTGTGTGTGTGTCTGTGTGTTTTTTTTTAATTATTATTATTATTTATTATTCCTCTACCATTTTCCTATTAGATTAAAGGGATTAATTTTCTCATTTTACATGAGAATATTTTCTCATATTACACACCTAATACATGAGTGAGATCCATAAAAAAATAAAAAGTTAAGATATGTCTCACCTTTTAATTATGAATGTAACGTAGGAAAATTTTCTGAAAAAACTATTTTCCTAAGACTAATCCACCTCAAGTGGGATAGGATTACGAGGCTGACAAAAAAAGTTTATAAATTTTTTAATACAACTGTCTAGAAACAACCTTTATCAATTATTCCACGTAATGAGTAATATTGTTGTTGTTAAATAGAATATCTGAAACGCCTATAAGGTTCCAAAACAATTAAACAAACAGATTTGTTTCACAACAACTAACCAAGGGATGGAACTCAGATTAAACAATCAGATTTGTTTCTTTTTGTGGTAACGATAGTATTTGAATTTGAAATCCTACTCTATAAATTCAAAAACCATTATGTTGGGACTATTTGTAGCCTTTACAATTCCGTGAGAAAGATTTAACTTCATATATTAAATACCTATTGAAAATGGTATCAAAATTCTCTGCAATTTTTTTAAAAAAACAAAAAACAAAAATAGACATCTTGGGGTTTTATTTTATTTTATTTTATTTTTGGTAAAGATTTAAAAAAAAATTGAGGTATAGGAAATACTATGACAAGATAAACTATTAAATTACAAAAAGTGCACCTCCTGCAGTTTGTAAATGCAGCTTCTGTAATTGGTAAATTAATAACATGTGGGATACTGTATCCAAAAAAATAAAATAATAACTTGTGGGATACAATTGTTAGAAGCATTAATTAATGAAAGTAATGAAAGAGTTATATCACTTGCAGAACATTGTTCTGCTAAAGTGAGATTCATTGCATCATCAATTTAAGAAGAAAAGTCAATGCTAAACGGCTACCCCGAGTTGCCGCATTAAAATAAAAGTCATGGGAGGAACCATGACTAACGGAAGAGTTGATCAAAGATGACAATATCCAAATTAAATAGAGTTTGCAGATCATGTTTGGACAATCAAATTCCAGCAATAATTCATTTACATGTGGAGAAAGAATCTAGCTGTGTAAAAGATAATTTACACAAGTATAATAATATATTTGGCGTGCAACACTTAGTGGCACTCCACCAACAATTTCTAAGTTCTTTTTTAAATTTCTTTGGAACATGCTTCCTGCTCTTTTCACTCTAGCTAATCATATATTTCAATTTAAAAAGATCATTCGACACCGGTCTGATCTGAAGGCTATTAAATCAAGGCAGATCAGCAGCGTCACATGTTTACAAATCAGAATCGTTAGATCAAGGCAAGACCAACAACTCTCAAATGAGATGTTATACTTTTTGTTTGACACAAGTGTCAAATGATCATGTCCCATGTATATTTGACTTGGAAAATGTGCTTTGTGCAAACAGATCTGATTAAAAAATCAGCGCTAAAAGCAATGCGAAGAAACACTAAGTTAAGAGGCATGCTATATGCACACCATTTCTACACCTACACACAACAAAGTATCATCCACTTGAAGTTTTATATTGTATGGCTCAAATATCAGCACCACATTTGGTGTGCAAAAAACATTTCTCCAAGGTAAATATTCTTCGAAGTCCAGAAAACTTAAGGTTTGCTAAATTCCGTTTACAAGTTTCACAAGTTCACATCTCCTATTAAGCAAGTAAACTAGCAGAAGGATCAAGATAGATACCACAAAATCAGCAATAGCTCGTATTACATGGCAAAGTAATCCACATTGCTAAAATTGATTGTTTTTTTAGATAACATCCTCAAACTACAAACTTCTAAAGATCTATGGCATATGTGATGACAAATAGTTAAAATAAACTCTGCTATCCAAACAGGGTACTCGGTACTCATGTTTTACCCGACTGACCTCTCAGCTTGAACATTTGCTCAAGATCATTTGACCATACATATTTGGCGTTCCCTGTTCAGTTGTCATATTAGCATATAATTAATTTCAAAATGCATTGAAAAACATAGTACTATAAAGCTCCTGCTCTGCGCATGGTTTACGGAAGGGTTATAGTAAGTAGCCTTAACTTGCATTTACAAAAGGCTGATTACATGAATCGAACATGTGATCTCTAGGTCATAAGATGACAACACCAACTATTGTACCAAGGTTCTCCTTCAAAATGCATTGAACAACAATGACAAAAAAGAAAAAACTACATTGTGAAATAGAACTGATAAATGGGGTAACTGAAGTACCTGAGGTCCTCAGTAGTCAAACTAATCCACAAAGCCTTAGTGAAATACCTTTGTATTGTACTATCTTGGTGTGTTATGCAGGTCTCCAACAAGAAAGGGCATAAATGATACGCCCCTTCCAACCTTGCAATAACCATGGCCTATCTTCATCAATTACAAAATCCTTGTGGTAGCCAGTTCTTACTTTCTCCATTGCCAACTTCACTGTCTCACGATCAAGAGGTTGTTGCAGAAACCCAGCCCGTATAATTCGTGCTTGCCACTGTTTATATGTCTCTGGCCTCTCTACTCTTTCACAGCCTTCACAAGCTATAACATTCAGTGCTTCCCTTCCAAATATCTCTTTCTCAATTAGCATCCTCTCCCACTCCTCCCGAGGCACAATAGATTCAAGCATATCAAAAAGTGATGAATAGTGAAAGAGTGCCTCCCGGAATCGGGTAACAAAGAAAGGGGCATTGAACGCCCCATTCATAATGCCGTGAATGAATATATTTGGGTTGATCTTTCTTATCAAACTGAGGAAATTATTCCTTGGACTGTCCACTACAACAGATTCATCCAGCAAGTTCTTACCTCTATATAAACAAGTGACAACAAGGAACTCATCCCTATCAATCTTGAGTTCTTCAAGTTTAATTGTTTCCCATTTCTTTGCTATGGCATTATACTCAAATGGAACCTTAAAGGAATCAGCATAAGCTGCCAAACGGCGTCCTGTTTCTATAATTCTCTCTGCGGGCCTGAAACCAGGTTGTGGGAAGTCTATTCCTGTAATCCGAAGCTTTGGTGGCCCTCCTGTTCTCCATGAAAGTCGCTGTATAAAGGTGGGCCACTGAAAACCATAAAGGATACCAAAATCTATAACATGGACCCTCATTGAATTTGCAGAAGCTGTCCTTATTGTGACGTTTGAGGTGAAATTAGAAATTTTCCTAAAAGGGCAGGCAGCAAGGTATAGATGATAAGCTTTTAGAACATCAGCAGCTGTTGTTCTTTTACTAACAAGTCCCTTATAAATTTGGCTTCCAGTACCAGCCAAGCGCGCCTCAAGACCATCTGCAAAGATATGAGCCAACCTCTGATTTCCATCTCCAAAAGGGCTTGAGTGCTGCCTGATCTGCTTTAGCAACTCATGCGCATTCCTATAGTCATCTGCTGCAACAGCTTGAGCACAAAGGACCAGAAGTGTTCTCAAATCGATCACCTCCTTTTTCCCACTTTGTTTCTTACCTCGTCCCTTCCCTCTATTGGAAGCTTTTGATTGACCATTAGGCAATGCTGTCTTGTTTGTCTTATTCTGCAAAGCCTCACGACGAGCCACATAATGCTCTTTACCATCACCTGCGCTATGAAGCAGGAATATATCAGTCATATTTGATCGCAATGTCGGTTCGGAATAAATTGCTGCTTGCTTACTGCTTCTATTTTCTTCAACATCTCCCTCTTCTCTGTGAGGGTGCTTCCTTCCCTTGGATCCACCAAGAACACATTCCCTCTCATCCTTCTCCACCTTAACTGACAATTGATCCATTTCCACTTTTGGCTGTATCGATAACAAATTAGCAAACAGCCCATTTCCACTCGGAAGAAACTTACTAGCCTCCTCAACACCCTTCTGAAATTGCCAAATGGATTGACTCTCACTGCTCAGATCAGGGACCTGAAGAATACTGTCTGGAGAGTCTAAATGCCCTTCCACACTACTAATTGCACTATTGGAAGTGCTATAAGATGACTGCGAAATGCTATTATTACCTTGAACACTTTCTGGAGGAAAGTCAACTGAGTTTGGGAGCAAGAAATTATCTGTAAAAATGCTATTCAGATAACCATTAGTACCAGGACAATTACCATAATTTCCAGAGAAATTATTATCTCCAACCCCATCATTTTGATTGATAAGACTAGGGTTTCCTATGGGTGAGGGTGGATACTTTTCACCCAGCACCTCATAGAACGGTTTCTCAGCTGCTTGAAGATCTAAAGATTCTTGAAGCATGCATGTCTTGTCTTCCATGTCTTCTTCCATAAGGATCTGACTGATGTAACTCAAAATTGCATCAGAAAAATCACAATCCTCTGGAGAATGCTCCTCATGGGTCAGAGTAGAGGATGAAGGTGTACTAGCAGGTATTGGATCAGACTGAAGATAATCAAATCCCCTATTCTGATCAAATAAAGCATTTCCAAATCTGGGTCCAGTAGCAAATCTCTGATTCTGCAGAATTGGCAAAGATTGATTACCCAAACGGTCTTCATTTGTTGAACCAGTAAATCCCAGAAGGTGTGGATTCATTGTCATCTAATTCAAAAGATATTTATATATAAAAAATTCAAGCTTTTCTGTTCAAATCAATCTTCAATAACAAATCTTCTTCTCTTCAATTCACTGGTTTTTCTTTCAGAATCTTTCACAAACAAGCACCTTTCAAAAACCAACAGAACCATTAAATTTCAAAACCTCTAAAGGTGAATACGAGTTGGGGGCACAGATGAAATTTCAGAGCTATAAATAGAAAAAAAAAAATCTGGATATAACCTAAATCAACAAACAAGATAAAAGAAACATAATCAAATATTCTACTAGTTTTTTCACATTTAAATGACCTCAAAGGACTCAATAATATAATAATAAAAAAAAGTATCAATTTGTATAAGAGAAAATGAAAGGTAGATAAAAAGTGAAGTAAATGAACAAGCTTTGACCTGAAGAGTGAAGAAGAAAAGCTTACCTCTTAGACCCAAATCACAAGTTTCTATTTCTAAGACGAAGAAGCAACAGAGAATCAAGTGAGAGAAATGAGAGCTTATGTTTGTTTGTTTGGGGTATGTTGCTTGAGTTGACTCTAACCGAAAAATGTAAGAGAAAAAGTTTGGTGGGACCCTAATCCAAAGTGGGGAACAATCACAATCGTTCATTTTTGGTCACCAGTCTTAATTCTCATAAAAAAACATGACCGCTTTTTAACTTTTTAATTTTTTTAATTATTGACTCTCGTAAGGACATTTATTTAGAAATTTTTTTCCTAATAATTGTGATTAAGAAAATAAATTATCACGTCAAAGTTATTCTTGTTTCTAAAAAAAGAGGGGAGAGAACTAGATGATTATGACCATCATAGTTTTTTGCTAATTTTTTAAAAATGATTACACTTTGATTGCTATTTTGTTTTAAGAAAAATAAAAAATAACTATAAAAATTAAAATTGAAAAACTTGAAAAATTATAAATATAATAGATCATAAGAAGGTTATATTTACAACTTCTTTTTACTTATAATACCTTACAACCAAATTTTAACCGTTGATTTTCACCAATCTGATAATTATAATTTATTGAATCACACTTATTAATTAATTATAATCATCAGATTGGCAGAAATTAATGATTAAATTTTTTTATTTTATTTTTAGTAAACAAGGAGGGCATAGCCCGAAAGACAAACAAAAATAAACTAAGACAATCATATTCTATCAAATTCCATAAAAAGCTGAATTCCATCAGGAATTGAAAAAAAACAATTCTAAATCTTGATTTCTCTTGACAGCAAATGATGCCATCCAATTAGCACAACAATTTGATGCTCTTCTAGTATGATTGAACTTCAACACCCAATTTTGGTATCTCCATCTGCGAATTTATTGTACAAGGCTATCAAGAGGAGCCTTATTTAACTGACCTATAGCCAATTGAACCGCCAAGGAAGAATCGCTATCAACCTCTACTTGAGTGACATTCATTTGCCAGGCTAAAATTAATTATTCGTATTAATTATCATTATAGATTGGTATAATTATTACTATAAATTAATGTTAAAGATTAAATTTTTATTTATTTACAACAGTAATAATATAATTACTTACGGAATTAATATAAGATAAAGATAACTTTATCTGTTGCACTCATATAAAATTAAAGGGTTCGTTTTTCAGTTATTGCAAATAAGTTATCTGCAGTAATTTCAATACGACGTCGTTTTGGAGCAGAAATCATGGTGTTTTTGTAATTTTAATTTATTTCAGGATTATTATAGTCTTTATAAATATAATTTTTTAATATTTCAATCTCAAAACACGTCGTTTTGGAAGTAAATGCAGATAACTTATCTACAGTAACTGCAGAAATATTTTTCTGAAAATTAAATTGGGTTTATTTTTATCTTTTTTTTCTTCTCCTAACAGGCCTCACTCATTTGTATGTGAGTGCAAGAGATGAAATTATTTTCATATTCCAAGAAAAAACATTATTTCCATTATTTATTGATCTAATTAAGGATTTATTGTTTCTCATGTTATAAGAGATAAATTTATTTCCTACATACATATAAAAATGTGTAGGACCCATATTTTCTCTTTCTCTTTTTTCTCTCTATATGGGCTCCACACACTTTTTAGTATGTGTAGGAGATAAAATTTATCTCCTACAACACGAGAAACATTAATCTCATCTAATAAAACATTAAAACATAAGTCATGTAAAGAAAAAGTTTTTTTTTCTTTTGTATTATTATTGACATATTAAATAATGTTTGACATATATAATTTTAAATTTAAATAATAATAATTTTCAAAAGAAAAAGTAAAGAATTTATAATTAGGAGTGTTCATCAAACAATTGAAACCGATTAAAACTGCGGCAACTGAATCAAAAAATCAATAATCGAAAACTGAAAAAGTCGCATATTTTAATTGGATTGGATCGATTTTCGGTTTGGCCGGTAAAAACCGATCAATGTATTTATCATAGAAGAGAAAGATGGTAGTTTGAAATCTTGTTTTGTAAAATTGGAATCTTTAATGTTATTGATAGCAAACTACCTTATTTTAATTTTTTAATCTCTATTATTTAATTTTAACTCTTCATGAGTTTAAAGATTTATTTTAGTTTAAAGACTTGGATTTTTCAGTGATTTGTAACTTTGTGTAGCTTCATTATGATATAGCTAATGATTTGTATAGCTAAAATTTTAAACTTTTCAAAAAACTAAAAACCGACGCAATCCAAATCGTATAAAATTGGATTGGATTTGAAAAAATTCAAATGAAATGATGATTAAATGATCGAACCGAAAGGATGATATCAGATAATTTTTACTTCAAAATCAATCAAATTCGGACCGCAAATACCACAATTCACAATAACCAAAAAGATGTCTACGATTGTATTTTATATAAGAATTATCAAAATGTTGATTGCTATACTGCTATTAGACTACATATTATAGCCCAAGATTTTTTTTTAGTGACATGCCAATTGGATCCTAAGATTTGATTAAGGGATTAATATTTGTCCTTTCAAAAGAGATAAAATTATGTTATTTTAATCAAAATTATTGTATGTTATGGTGAGAGAAACAATTACATAATAGGAATCATGGTGAGAATAAGTGAGAGATTTTTTTTTTAATTTAAATATTAAATAAAAGTTAATAATTTTAACTAAAATAATTGTTGTTTAAACGGATAAATATTTATAGATCTGGATCTCTTATGTGAAAAATCACATGTATCACATGACCATGTGATGTGAAAAATCATAACTATACAAAGGTGGATCAATGGTGACAAAGGAGAAGAGAAAAAAATGTTAAAATAAGTAATTACAAAATCATAACCGTTGATTTACGTTTGTATGATTATAATCTTCCCATATGACCATGTCATATATATATTTTTTCACATAAGATAATCCATTTCTAATATTTTTTCTTTTTGATTAACGATAATTTAACTTGAAGGAAGTTAAGGGGTTGAAACCTCAAACTGAATTGGGAGTGGATCATCTCATGTGCTAATTAACATGATCATGTCATGTAGGGCAATCATAACCATACATGAGTGAGTTAATGGAGATAAGGGAGGAGAGAAAAAAAATATAAAGATAGGAAGTTACACAATCATCACTGTTGATTTAATTATTAATGATTAAGATCCTCCCACATGACATGATTACACATGAGAGGATCCATTTCCAACTGAATTAATTGAATCTGCAAAAATTCCGGACACCAAGTGGTTTTAAAAAAGAGAGGGAGATATTATTAGGAGAAATGTTATACTTACAACTTATTTTTTGTTTACAACTTCTTACAATTATATCTTAACAATTGATTTTCATCAATCAATGATTATAATCTATTATAAATTAATAAGAGAAAAATATTTCTGCAGTTAATGCAGATAAGTTATCTGCATTTGTAGATATAAGGTATGTTTTGATGATAACAAAATGGCAACAACAAAAAGAGAAGATCTTTGATCAAGAGCAAAAAGCATCAACCGTATATGGATATTGAAGATGTATGATGTAGTCACACAAGAAGAGTAATGTCACATCAAAGTGGCAAGATCATTGGATCAAGAGCAACAAGAAATAATTAGAAGAGCAACACCAAGATCAAAGACAACTAACCATGGACAACATCTAAGAGAATCTCAATATCATAACCATGGTGAAAAATGATCAAAACCAACAAAGTGCCAAACATTGTCATATTCATCAAGTCAACACATCAAGTTCAAGTAAGGATCCAAGACACAAGACATATAGCTAAGTCTAAAATCATATTTGGAATATATCTTTAGGACTTAGAATATATGTGAGGGTATATGGTAGATTACATTGCATGAGCTCAAAGTTTTTCTCAAAGTAAACGTGTTTTTCAAATTGCATAATCATAATCTTTATATACTTGAAAGAAATTTGAAAAATCCAAGGAAAAGATCCTTAACATATTTTATAACTTCAAAACATATTTATCAAGTCAAGATCTTTCACAAAAAGTGGTTGGAAGCAAGCTAGAACACATTTGAACCAAAAATCTGTTGCTTAATTTTGCTTCTGCCTTCCATACAATTTTTAGTATCTAAGATGATGGATTTGGATCTTGTGTTCTTCATAAAAGTTGTAGATCTTTCTTTTATCTTTCCAACGAGACCGAGATCACATCAATCCGACAAGTATAACTCAAGTTATGCCCAAAATACGAAACAATGTTCTTGCTGTCAATAAAGTATTCGAATACCTGATGCAGTATTCGAATACCGAATACCATACGAAAAGTATTCGAATACTTGCTGGGAAGAAGGCCTATAACGGCCATAAACGGCTATAAATGAAGTATTCTAATACCACACGAAAAGTATTCGAATACTTACTGGGCAGAATGCATAAAACGGTCATAAACGGCTATAAACGGCTAGTTTTCAATGGAAACACTATAAATACATTCCTTATGACCCTAAAACGTTGAGATCATCATTCCTACACATCTTAAGGATAATTTGAGAGCTTTTACACTATCATTTGCATATTCTTTCATATCTTTCAAAGATAAAACATATTTGAGCTCATATCTTGAAAATCCATATACCCATAGTGCTTCAAGTTGTATATCCACACTTTGAGAGTGTATATTCATTTCCTAATATTCCCCTTCTTATATTCTTGAGTTGAAAGGGTTGTGAGACCCATTGTTTGAGAGGTAGCCAAATACCTAAGTAAATTTGGAGTAAATTGTAAGGTTACCAAGTACCCGTAAACTTGGAGATTGAAAGGTATCCAAGAACCCGAAATCTTGGAAGATTGTAAAGGTTTGTCAAGCACCCGTGAAGCTTGACCATTAGTGAAAGAGTTGATCGAACGGCTTCAGTCTGGACGTAGGTCACAAGTGGTGGTGACCGAACCAGGATATATTGTGTTAGCAATTTTCTAAACTCTAAACTCTTTATTTCTAGCACTCTAATTGCTTATTTGATATCTTGTATGTACTTGTGTAAGTTCTTTAATTGTGATATATTATATATTATGGATTGTCTGAATGTATTGATTAGATTTCCACATATCAAAGTTTGCTTAAAATAATTATTTAGAAACTAGAAAGGGGCTTTTGCGAAAATTTTGTAATACTCAATTCACCCCCCTCGTGAGTATGGAAGCCACATTCCTAACAACATTTACTTCCAAAATGACATCGTTTTGAATTGAAAGATTAAAAAATTATAATTATAAAGACTATAACAATCCTGAAATAAATTAAAATTACAAAAAACACTATGATTTCCGCCCCAAAACGACGTCGTATCGGGCTTACTGCAGATAACTTATCTGCACTAACTGCAGAAAAAACGAACTCAATTAATAATTAATTAATGAGTTTGAATTGCGAAAATAATAATCGTTAATTGACAGAAATCAACTATTAAAATATGGTTACAAGTGATTATAAACAAGAATAAATTGTAACTTGTAATATTACTAAAAAAATTCACTATCAACTTGTTACTTAATTATTCATCACCATTGAATTATAGAGAAAATGCTTGAAAAGTTTTTTAAAAGAGAACAAATAGGGATCCAATAATGATTAGATAAATAATAAAAAAAATTTGGTAATAAGAATATCTATATTTACTACTACCAAAAAAATAAAAAAAATAAAAACTATATTTACATTTGGCTGTTGCAATTTGGTGAAGCATTCATGTTTCATGTACCCATGTACCCTAATGCTTTCTTGAATGATTCACGTTTCTTTGAATCTATGTTTTGAGAGTGTCTACGCTATGCTGGTGACTCGGTGACTCAAAATCGAGTGAGACACCGAACACAGAGAAACGGTGTCGTTGACCTCCAAATTCTATGACGTTGTGCTGTAGAATTAGGAGGTATGTGCATGTAACCTTTCTCACCAATTCTCACTCACTCGCATCTTTCTCTTTTGCTCCGAACACTAAGAGCATTTCTTCTTCGGTTCACAAAATTGACGGTGCTATTGCATCATTTACTCACATTATCAATAAGCACCATGCTCCATCTGAATTTGAAATCAACAAAATATTAGGGTTTCTTATCAAGATGAAACACTATCCCACCGTTACTTCACTTGTTGCAAAAATGGAGTTTAGGGGAATCACTCCTTTCATGGTTACTCTGAACATCTTGATCAATTGTTACTGCCACTTGGGTAAGATGGGTTTTGCTTTTTCTGTATTGGTTAAGATTATCAAGATGGGTTATCAATTAAATACCATAACTTTGAATACCATAATGAAAGGGTTGTGTATTAATGGTGAGGTTAGGAAAGCACTTGAATTTCATGATGGAGTAAGAGCTAAAGGGTTTTTGCTTGATGAGGTTAGTTATGGGACCTTGATTAATGGGCTTTGTAAAATTGGACAAACAAGTGCTGCTATTGAGTTGTTGCAAAAGCTAGAGAGACAACCTTTTAAGGTTAACATTGTAATGTATAATACAGTTATTGATGGGTTATGTAAAGATGGGCTTGTAACTGAGGCGAGGGATTTGTTTTCTGAGATGATTGCTCGAGGAATTTCTCCTGATGTTTTCACTTATAGTTCTTTAATTCATGGTTTATGCTGTTTGGGTCAATTGAAAGAAGCAGATCGGTTGGTGAATGAAATGGTTCAGAATAATGTCAACCCAGATGTGTATATCTTTAACATACTCATTGATGCATTATGTAAAGAAGGGAGAATCAGAGAAGCCCAAAATATGTTTGATATGATGTTGGAAAGAGGTCATAAGCCGGATGTTGTCAGTTACTGTTCCTTAATTGATGGATACTTTTTGATCAATGAAGTTAACGAAGCAAGAATGCTATTCGATGAAATGATCGAAAGGGGTTTGACAATTGAAGTTTGGTGTTACAGCATTATGATTAATGGATACTGCAAGAATAAAAGGGTGGATGAAGCCATGACTCTTTTTAAAGAAATGAAACAAAGGAATTTAGTTCCTAATACGATAACGTACAATTCTCTTATTGATGGCTTCTGCAAATTAGGGAGAATCTCATGTGTGCAGGATCTTCTTTATGAGATGCATGCTAGTGGTCAACGTCCTAATGTAGTCACTTACAGTATTTTGTTGGATGCTTTATGCAAAACCCAACATCTTGATGAAGCTATTGCATTATTTCAGCGAATTGTTGACAAAGGAATTTGTCCTAATGCATATGGGTTCATCATACTGATAGATGGTTTGTGCAAAGGTGGGAGACTTAAAACTGCACAAGAGTTGTTCCATCATCTTCTTATTAATGGCTATCGATTAAATGTCATGACATATACTGCTATGATCAGTGGGCTTTGTAAAGAGGGCCTATTTGATGAAGCAGTGACCTTTCTTTCAATAATGGATGACAATGGTTGCTTCCCTGATGCTGTAACGTATGAAATATTTATTAAGGCTCTTCTTCAAAAGAATGAATATGGTATGGCAGAGAAGCTTCTCCGTGAAATGATTTCTAGAGGACTATTGAAGAAGTTAAGATAAAGGCAAGACACTTTAACTGGAAATACATAACTTATAATGTTTTATTTATATGAATGGTTAGCTAGTTTTTATTTCTTTTCTGTCAAAGAAGTTGTACTATGCAATGATATCATTGTTACTGAATTTTTAATCAAGTCTTACTCTTATCTTCATGAAGATTACGTTAACCCAATGTCATTGAACTTCGATTAATTTTTTTGAATCTTGACTTTGAGTGTCATTTACAGGACTAACTTTCTTCTGCATCATGTACTGTCAGTCTGGTCATGTCAATCTTGACTTTGAGGGTCTTTTGAGCATAGCTGATCATTGCTCATGGACTACTGTTTCAGATGTTTGGATAGTTGCCACTGGCTAGAATAGTTGATTTCAGTTATAGGGATCTATAAACCTTTTATCATACAGGAAGTGTAGAAGAAACTGAAGAAATTATTCTGCGTTCTCTTATCTCTGAATCTTAACCCTGTTTATGCTGAATTAGTCCTGGGAGAAGTTTAAAACCCACTTATATTGTTGCACCAGCACAGCTCCTGCAATAGGTTGATTTGTCCCTTGGGTGATTGTCGACCGATGGTTTGTTGCTTTTTCAAAAGGATATTCTTATGTTTTTATTGTTATAGTATTGGAAATCTTCTTTCAAGTGATCATTATCTGACTTTTTTTTTTCAGTAAAATATGGGGCCTTAGCCCTACGAAGAAAAAGAAAACTAAGTGTAATGATACGGGGCCAAAAGGTACATCAGGTAATAGTAATACAATTGAGTTTCAATTCAGCGGCATATGCAGTCCCTGAAAACCCTGTGAAAGCTTGAGGCTGTAGTTTGTGAACCAATCTACACACCTGAATACCTTCACTAAAAGCATAAGCTATCTGCACCTCCCAATTCCAATTAAGCCATATCCTGTTATGACTAAGCAACTGTATATTTCTTGCTACCAGCTTAAACCCACTAGCATAATAAGCAAACAGGTTACAGAGACCTTCCATGCATTGGAAATTGCCCATACAGATTAATTCTCCACATCATATTGGTTTGGTGGAAGGTTTGCCCTTGACAGTTCTCCGACTCGCAGAGGCAGTTCTGTACCATAGCCAAATCTCAGCTGTCATCTCCTCTCACATACATACCCAATGGTGGCTGCAGCTCATCTTCCGGAATCAGATGAACTGTCAAATGTATTAAAGGCCAGACGTTATCAAGCCAACAAGTTGTCTAAAAGCTAACCCCATGGTCATTTCCAAGTTCTAGCTTTATATTCGGAAGAAGGCATGGCCAAAGCCTTGTCATCTGACTTTTATGTCTATTAAAGGATGATAGGATAAATATAAGAACGTGGCCTATTCTTAAGGGTTGGAGTTTGATTTAGTTTAATGATATATATTCAAAGTGCTATTTTTATTTTGGTGATAATGTGTCCTCCCTTTTATGAAGACTTGGTTAAACTACGTAGTAGACACAAACAATTTTGAGCAACATCTTGACTAATAATAAGATTACTTAATTTTAATCAACTCTATGATTGCACTTAAAGACACTACACAAGGCTTCCAGGAAAATTTTAGAACACATAATTTGGTTGCACAATTAAAACTGCCTTTGATGTTCTCATATGCTGTCTTTCCTTTTGCTAATTGTCAGCTTTCCAACGATCATTGGTGATGACTTTGGGAATCTTTTTAATTGTTTTTCATCTGACCTTATGATGAACAAAAAAAAAAAATATAAGGCTGAGGATTATTAGAGTCTTGTGATATGGTAATGCACAAGTAAACCTTTTTTATGTCCGTTTTGTAAAGTATCTTTAGCTGGTTTCTTTTTCCCTCTACAACTTTTAATTGACTGTCTCCCGTTCCTTGAGTGGTGGAATAGGATTTGAATGGAAACTCTGCTCATTTTTTTTAATATTAGATAGATTGTGAAATGAAAACATAAAACGGAAAAGAAAAGATATAAAAAATATAGAGACAGTGCAGAACTTCGACAGTCTGCTTACTCCCTATCCAACAGCCCCAATTCCTCACTCAATGATTGGCTACCTCCTCTTGGATCCTTCCCTCCCATTTTTCCTTGTTCCCCTAGATTTCTCCCTTCCTTCACACACCCTCTGCCCCTTGTTCTCTCTTCCTCTACTACCCTTTTTATCTTTCCTAGCTTTAGTAATCATGGGTTCCCAAGCATTAAGCCATCTATATTCTTTAAGTTCTAGTTGTATTCGTGATTGATTTGATATAATCAACTATATGGGGGAAATTATCTGTTGATTTAGATTCTCAGGCGAATTGAATTTAGACCACTGATAGATAGTTGTGAACCATTTCTATGATTTCACTATTACATTAAGGGCGTTTTCCTCTCTGATATTTCAAGGACCACAGCAGTATCATGCACTTTTTATTCCTGAACTGGCTCAGCTGTGTGGAATGCCAAGTTCTTGATGTTAAATATAGTATATCTGACTTCCTGTTTTAAGATCATGGCATGAGCTTTTGTTGGTATTTGAACCTCTAAAGAGCCGTTCTTGAGAGTGATTAAAATTACTTTCTGTCCAGATTCTCAGCTCAACTGTAAGTCAGGCCAGAAAAAGCAAGCTCTGATCTTAGCAGTCTAATTTCTATGATATGACTGTTTAATAGCGGATTTTCACCTTTAACATCTCAATGATTGCAACGGTATCAATTGGTTGTAATTTCATTGTTTTAAAGAACGTGGACCTCAGTTGCAGCATACCGAAGGTACACACTGTATTCTATTAAGTTAGTTGAGGAATACTTTTCTTACGGAAGTTAGAATGTTAAAATTTCTTAGATTCTTTGCTGTAGCATTTTGACATCAACTGATGCTTTCCTAACAAAGTGATTATGAATATAACATAAGCATTGAAAATAGTTTTCTGATTTTTGAATAATATTTCCCCAGAATCTCAAGGATTTGAAGCCTTCCTAGTTAGAAATAGAAGTATAAGCTTATTGTTTTGTATCACAATATCAAAATTACCTGTCTTATTCAAATATACTGTCCTTGTTCTCTTTTCCATCTAATCCCTAGATTTTCGAATAGTGTCTTTGATTTGGGAGCATTGGCCGAACCAAGTTGATGGAATATTTTGCTAGTATTCTCTATTCTGATTCTGTTTCATCATTTCTTTCAATAATTTACATTTACATAGAAATGAAATTTTTTGGTCTTACCTTTCTGTCTTTAGTTTTTTTGAAGTTATTTTCTTTTCTTTTTTCATGAGTTTAGCAGGTGAAAATGGGGGAGAAGGAGGGTGATGCCGTGGCTGCAAAGGCAAAAGTTGTTGTAAAATTTGAGAAAACATGAGAAAGTAAGACCTGGGCTTAGTTTCCATGAAAATAAATTACTTTTCATGAGTTTGGCAGATGAAAATGGCGGAGAAGGAAGTCGATGTTGCAGCTGTAAAGGCCAAAGTTGTTTCCCTGTATATGAAAATTTGAGAAAATATGGGAAAATCAATTACTTTTGGTGGAGAGCGAAAAACCCAAACCAGTCATGTACACCATCTGTGGAAGTTGTCCCCGCAGGTACACCGCCTCCGTCGAAGTTGCTGTGAAAAGGAGAGGAATTCAGTCCAAAATACATCTGTGGCAAGGTCAGACCCTTATCCATAGCGAATTAGACTCTAGCTCAATAACTTCATTTGCAAATTAAGTAATTGAGTTTGGATCGGGCTATTGATATTTGAATTTGTTAACTCAAGTGATCAACTTAGAGATATCCTTACAAAGTCTCTTTGGAGTAACTTGATTTGTATCAAGCTTGAGGAATGTGATTTTTATACTTAACTTGAGGGAGAGTGTTAGAGAGCATCTCCTGTTTAGAGATAATATCTCCTATTGTTATTGTAAATATGGTTAGAATTTGATTACAAGCTTTAGATATTTTAGGATTTGTTTCCTTGTTTCGAGATTGCATTTGTAATCATATCATATAATGACATGTATAAATATAATTCAGCTGCCGAAGATTTTGATTTTCTCAAGTAATTCCCAAACTTGTGTAGTACTCATAAAGCACCTACCTGACTTAGTCTGTCGACTACTTCTGTCCCTCTATGGTCTAAAACGATTTCATGTGTCTTGGTTTGAGAGATTCAACTCTGTATTCTAGCAATTTGGCTTGACTCTATATAGAAGAATTTTCACTTTGTATTATTTCGGTACTCTTCACGGCCTTGGCATCTGTCTTATAGTGTATGACAGTTATCATAGACAACGATTAGGTGGGTATCCAGAATTTTAAGCAGCATTTGTCATGCCACTTTCAGACAAAAGATTTAGGTCCTGTCCAATAGTTGTTGGGGATTGAAGTTGCTCATTCTAATGCAAGTGTTGCTATGACCCGAAAAATTATGCTTTGCTGCTTTAGACATGCTAGAAGAATCAGACAATTTGGATTGTTGACCTAGTTATACTACATTGTATCCCAGCATCAAACTAGCACTGGTTACTGGTTAGGGAAGCTACTAGCATATATAAATATACACGTATTATTGGTAAATTTAACCACCTTACAATAACTCTCAATCGAACATCACTTTTGTTCTTAAGTGTAGTAAGCCAAATTCTGAATGTTCCTTGTGATAGTCAATGGCATGTTGTGATTCCCATTCTTTTAGATATATCAAGAGGGTACCAGGGAAAGGTTTACTTTATGAAAACAAAGGCAATGCTAAGTTGTTGGCTATTTTGATGTTGATTGGGTAGGCTGAATCCTAACACCTCAAATGCAAACAGGGAACCTCGTAGGGTGCCTCCAAAACGCAGACAGGACCATGCCATAACTCAAAAACCTAGATGTCAGGTACCAAACACCAGGTCATACAAGTACCCGTTACCAAAAGTCTGAAAACAGATAAATTATTTAGGAAATGCTTAGTACAGGCATGATTAGACATATAAAGTCCATATTCTCATCATGTAATTTTGGTTAAAAAGAATGATGGGGTGAAGAGTATGTGTAGAATACAGGACTTTGAGT